ATGTACCAATTAAAATTGTTTAGGCTGAGTTTAAGATACATTACAATACCGCCCCAGCCGGCTCATGCAAATGAATCCTATCAAGTTTTAACATTTATTACAAAACTTGACAGGTGCAGGAGTTTCAGCAGAATCAGGAGTTCCCACTTTTCGTGGAGCCGGAGGATTTTGGCGGACTTGGCAGGCTCAAGAACTGGCAACTCCTGGAGCCTTTAGGCGGAATCCCTCACTGGTGTGGGAGTTTTACCACTATCGTAGGGAAGTCATGCATACCAAGAATCCTAATCCTGTGAGTAAATTGTGCCATAAATATTCAACCTAGCCTCCTAAAATGTTAGTACTGTACATTACAGCAACTGTTTGATTAAACATACAAAACAAGGTTGTTACAGCTGACAATGTTCACCTTTTATACTACAGTATTAATTTTATAAAAAGGCACAATTTTTGTTTAAACAATTTTAGGCCTAGTATAGCACATTTAAGTACTGTACTGTACTATGTTATACCTCAAAAATCATATATTAGTCTTAAGATTGCTTGGACAAGTAAGGCAAGGCTAGGTTATGCTCTTTAGTTACTTCTCTAGTACAGGGATATTAATGTGCCACTTGGACTAATGTAGTAATACAAAATGATAACAAAAATATTGTCCAACAGTCCATATTTGTTTAACTTAACAATTAATATACTTACAGTACTATGATTTTAGGAGGATGGGCTGTAATTATTTTCTATCCAATGAATAAAAATAACATCTATACAGTACAGTATGTAAAAATGATGTACAGGTAGTATAATTGTCTATTTAGTGCAGTACCTAGTGTACATTTTCTATGAGAACATCAAACTTCCTTGTGACATCAGATTTAGCATGGATGTTATAGTGAATGGAAAATAAAAAAATATCTTCCCTTATTTTGTCCTGGGCAGTGGTCAATATTTCTACTGACATTCATTATGATAGGAGGCAAGACCAAACTATTTTTTATTTTTGATATGAAATATATTATTAAAATGTAAGGAACCTGTATGCAAAAGTTAAATGAAGTACAAAATATATATATTGAGTAAAGATCTTTATGTTGGTCCAACTAAGTGGTACAATCATATGATTCTGGGAGACCCAAAGCTGAAGAATATAGAACTTCAAATAAATTTGTGGCCTCCCATGGCTGCTGGGAAGGAAACTATCAGGAGAAAGCACAAAGCTGTTACAACTATGTAGCACTTGGAAGGACTGCCGGGAGACACCATTAAGTTACTGGAATTATATAGATAACACCAGTGGCTCTTGGAACTGAAGGACAAGAGCTATAAGGAGAGGTTAGAGGCATTAACCTGACCTAACCTAACCTAAACTAAGTCCCCCGTGGCGTAGTGGTTAGACGCTCGCCTGGCATTTCACGAGTGCTTTAGCCTGGGTTGTATCCTGGCCGGGGAGGATTTACTGGGTGCAAATCCTTAACTGCAACCTCTGTTTACCCAACAGTAAAATGGGTACCTGGTTGTTAAATGATTTGGTGGGGGTTGTATTCCGGGGAATATTAGGATTAAGGACTTGCCTGAAACGCTATGCATGCTAGTGGCTGTACAAGAATGTAAGAACTTTTGTATATATAAAATAAATAAAAATAAATAAATAAATGCCAAAACTAGAAGATAAAAGAAAGAGAGGCAATATGATTACTATGGACAAAATAGCAATGAGAATCGATCAAATTGATAGGGAAAAATTCCTGAGTCCGGGAACTTCAAGAACAAAGGTCATAAATTTAAACTAACTAAACAAGCTGCCTTAGAAATAAAAAATAAAATTACTTTCAGAAATAGAGTGGTAGATGGTTGGAACAAGTTAGGTGAGAAGGTGGTGGAGGCCAAAACCGTCAGTAGTTTCAAAGCTTTATACGACAAAGAGTACTGGGAAGATGGGACACCATGATAAAAGCTCTCATCATGTAACTACACTTAGGTAATTACAAAATGTAACTTGTCATACAGTGATGATTGCATTGCAGTCGACTATCACCACATGATATTGACTGTACTTTGATGATTAATTTATAGGAAACCTTGACTGGCTGTTCTTGAGGTGGGGTGTATGCTGTTGTGTGTCTCAGCAGACACCAGCTGGGGGTCGGAGGCATGGTGGGTTAGATTATTGCTTGGTGGTTGCAAAGAGAAACTCAGCAAACTATTTGGGGCCCACTAGGTAAAAGGCATTTTGTTATATTTAACTCTTGATTTTTTCTTTGCCTTAAATTGCCCAAGTTAAATTTATTTTGTAAATATAAGATACTGTACAGTACAGTATTTCAGGATTACATCTTATCATAACAGTACGGTATAATATTTATACGACATTTAGAAAGTCATAAGCATATTAGTAATGTGTAAGCTCAGTTATCTGAACCCTGCAAAACTGGATATTTGTCTTATCTGACCAAAATTGCGCCCAGATAAATTTCTGATAAAACTTCGCCATATCCGGATAACCAGAGATTTGGCCGGATAATACAGACTGGCATAGAGTCTAGGTCAAATCTGGATATGCTGTTTATGGCAAAACTTTGCCATATCCAGCTAGAAATCTGGATAACTAGAGGTTAGGTAACATAAATTTTTGAGAACTAAACATTTCAAGATTCTACAGTATCAAACAAGAAGATGAACAACAAGAACATAAGCTGAGGTTTCTGTTTTAAAGTAGATTTTTTATTTACAGTGTGTATGGAAATTCAAATTATGTTGGTTGTGGTTCAAAAAATTGCGAATATGGAATTTTTAGACTTCCCTGGTAAGAATTAGGCTTATCCAGTGAGGGGTCCTTCCCATATAGTCTGGATAAGGGAGCTTAGACACTATATAAAAAGTTATCTTCTGTTTTGCTATTTCAGGCTCATTTGGCACTAGCAGAGGCAGAACAGCATCTTACAGCACAGGGGCGGCATCTAGTTATTATCACACAAAATATTGATGAATTACATTTTAAGGCTGGATCAAAAAATGTCATAGAATTGCATGGATCACTGTTCCGAACCCAGTGTTCAAAGTGTGGAGAAGTACGTGCCAACACTGACAGTCCTATTTGTCATGCACTTGCTGGAAAAGGGTAAGTTACTTTTTACACTGTATGTACTGTACATTCAACCTGTCCTTCTAACAGAATGTCTCATTTTGACGTATACTTTACGTATACTTAAGGCCAAAAATTGTTGCACTAGAAAATGATAGCAACTTGTGAAATTGACATAATATCCTGTTGTGTCTTTTGGGTTCTCTAATAGGTTAGCAGAGAACACTTTACTATGACAGTTTCTTGATGTTGGGAAACCTTAGGAGGACAGGCTGGTGCATTATATTTTTGTTTAGCCTCTGAATCTTCGAGACTACGGTACTATGTCTTCATCCACTTAGATTGAGAGGTAGAGTGATGTTCTTGCTTCTTCCTGGTCGGCATTCAATCTCCGACTGTCCAAGTGGTTGGGCACCATTTCTTTCCTCCATCTTATCCTAAATCCTTTACCTGTTATACTTGGTTATAATGGCTTAACAGTTTCTAAGAACCTTAGTATGTTTTGCTAAGCTAATTGTAACCTATTCTCCCCTTCCCCCTGCCCAATAACTTGGGCTGGATGGTAGAGTGGCGGACTGAATTGTGAAACCCTCCGCTTTGCATGTTGGCTTTCATTTCCCGACCGTCCAAGTGGTTGGTCGAATGAACAACTTTTTGTTCATTTTCCCTGTCATATCCCCAGTGATCTAGGAAAAATACGTAGTGCCAATGGCAAGCCCTGACATTGCACCGCTGTCCAAACACCTGACACCATCTCTCAGGTAACTTTACCATCACATTAGCTTAAACATACCAGTCAAGTTTGTTAACCTTTTAATTGACAAATTAGGACATTACATGAAAAGTATAGCTGCACCTTCCTTGCTTTCACTGATGCAAATTGGTCAACTCATCTTTCTGTTTAGGTAGTACACTGTACTATACTTATAAAATGATCCAGACATACAGAGATACCTCAGTTTTCAAATTTAATCCGTTTCCAGAGATTGTACGAAAACCGAAACAAATTCTCCCATAAGAAATAATGTCAATTTAATTAATCCGTTCCACACCCCCAAATACATTAACTAAAAAATACATTTTATACAGAATAATACTCTTAGGTACCTTACCTTTATTGAGGACTCTTGTTGGCATATGGAAGACAGTGAGGAAGGGGGGAGGAGGAGAGGTGTTAATGTTTGGAAGGCGAGTCCCCTTTCATTATAACATCAGGCAGTAATGACTTCTCTGGGATACTCATGTTTTGCAGGTATACCACTAAGACCTGGTTGTGGATCACTGCTTGCTTATCTTGCTTGTGGCTCACCCGGAGAGTAACCGCTGGGTGACCCAGAAACCCCCCCCCAGAAACAAGCGCATGCGAGACCGCAGCCGAAGGAGGGACTCCGGAGGAAGAGACAAGGAAGCGGTCCGAGAGTCCAACGTTTGCTGATGATGCTAAGATAATAGGAAGGATACGAAACTTAGATGATTGTCATGCCCTTCAAGATGACCTGGACAAAATAAGTATATGGAGCACCACTTGGCAAATGGAATTTAATGCAAATAAATGCCATGTTATGGAATGTGGAATAGAAGAACATAGACCTCACACAACCTATATATTATGTGAGAAATCTTTAAAGAATTCTGATAAAGAAAGAGATCTAGAGGTGGTTCTAGATAGAAAACTATCACCTGAGGACCACTTTAAGAATATTGTGCGAGGAGCCTATGCCACGCTTCCTAACTTCAGAATTGCTTTTAAATACATGGATGGCGATATACTAAAGAAATTGTTCACGACTTTTGTTAGGCCAAAGCTAGAATATGCAGTGGTTGTGTGGTGCCCATATCTTAAGAAGCACATCAACAAACTGGAAAAGGTGCAAAGACATGCTACTAAGTGGCTCCCAGAACTGAAGGGCAAGAGCTATGAGGAGAGGTTAGAGGCATTAAATATGCCAAAACTAGAAGACAGAAGAAAAAGAGGTGATATGATCACTACATACAAAATAGTAACAGGAATTGATCAAATCGATAGGGAAGATTTCCTGAGACCTGGAACTTTAAGAACAAGAGGTAATAGATATAAACTAGCTAAACACAGATGCCGAAGAAATATAAGAAAATTCACTTTCGCAAACAGAGTGGTAGACGGTTGGAACAAGTTAGGTGAGAAGGTGGTGGAGGCCAAGACCGTCAGTAGTTTCAAAGCGTTATATGACAAAGAGTGCTGGGAAGACGGGACACCACGAGCGTAGCTCTCATCCTGTAACTACACTTAGGTAATTACAGCAACCAACGAACCCGTACAAGACGGGTTGGAATCCGGAAGACACATTCAATGGTCCACTGAGCCCCGACAGGGTTTTCCAGGGCCCGTAGGGTAATAACTATGGGAAGCCCGGGCAAGGTGTTGCTAACCGGTTAAAACCCAAAACTAACTAGGGGGTAGAGGACAACACTGAAAACCTCTGCGACGTGTACAATCACGGGGGCCTAGCAAAGGGCCACCAAACACTACCAGTGGAACTATAGCCACACTAAGCAGACCCCACCAGGCAAATGAAATTAAAAACAAAAGAAAACCCCCGCAAAAGTACACCGTCCCCAGAGGAAACAGGAACCGGTCGCCGCTTAGGTGGCAGGTCGTGCAACACCTTGACGCCCTAACCAGCACAATACCAGTCCCTACCCAGGGCCAAACAAGGGCCCCAAGCCCCAGCTGGCCCCAAGGGCGAGGCAAATGCCGAGCAGCAAGAACCTCTACAGGAATGGTTCCCGAACGCCCCGAAGGAAGATCACCCTGTCATGCAGGGGCAGTACTCACAGGGCGCTTAGGGAAGGAAGCCCCTAAGCGCATGCAGCCCCGGTACTGATGAGGAACACCTGGCCACCGCACAACACAACACACAGCAGTGAACGCCACGAAAGGCAAACACCGCCTAGGAAACTGAGGCCAGAGAAGCATCTGTCCCGGTTGATATTAGTTTACGAACTGATACTAGGCAGCTGGCGCGGTGAGGTCCGGGGCTCCCCCCGCCCCCTCTCGGGGCGGGGAAGGCTGCGCAAATGATCGGTGTGGCAGTAAAGTGTGATATTTGCTTGTTTTCTTGGGATTGTAGGGAGTTTCTACCTCTCTGTTCGGTTTTCTGTTTAGTTTTTTACCATGTGGGGTTTGTTTTGTTATGCCTACCTTTCTGGGTGCCTAACCCCGGTCGATGGCAGATAAGGAAAACCCCAACAACAAGGGGGATTTCCAGGGCCATTGCTCCCTGAAACCTCTCTGAAGGGGCCAGGTTTTGGCGCTGGTCCCTGGTAGGTCTGAACTCCTTAGCTAATGTCCCGGTCTAATATAACATACATTAGCCCGATAAGCTCCAGGGAGCCGTAGGGGCTCACCCAGAAAATGGCGTTTATTACATTCAATGCTGGTTTTTTTATTTTTTTAGGCAATGCTGTGAGCTCATGCTGCATGTGCCAGCTTTGGTGGCTCACTCAGTACTGAGGCTTTCACACCAGTGAATGTTGCCCACGATTTAAAAGAAAAATGAAAAATGGCGTCTGTTTACAATAGCCATGAGGAAGCTTATGTGAACCCCGTGTAGCCGTGGATCTTTTAAATCTTGTGCGGTACTTCTAAACATCATTTATGATGTGGTGCGCAATTTCATAACAGTTACTCAACACATCATATGATGTGTTATGCAGTTTAAGGGTTAAAGCCAGAATCCCATCATAATAACAATATCATTGGTCCAAGTAACAAAACCTACAGGACCTAGCTTGATTATATCCAGGTTTTCTTTATTTAATTGGTTAATTAATAATTGCATATTTCAGAGCCCCAGATCCAAAGGCAGAAGATGCAAGAATTCCAGATTCTGAGCTTCCAAGATGTGTAACATGTTCAGGACTCTTGCGTCCTAATGTGGTCTGGTTTGGAGAAGGTCTTGATCCTGATGTATTATCCAGAGCAGGTCAGCAGATTTGATTCTTTGTTTTCAAGGAGTTTGTTTTTTGGTCTGTACCACTAGGTTGCTTAAGGGAGCATCTGATTTCCAAACTCAGGAATAGCTTTCCACATAATCAAAAGCTTATTATATCATTGTTTTACTAAGGTTCAAAGACAGAAGTACGTGTATTTATGATTGTGTATCTACATACTGTAATATCTACTTGTATTTAAGACTAGAAAAGGTTCAGCAAAGTGATAAATATGACCCCCCCCCAGAACTAAGTCAACTGTCATGCCGGGTAAAGCCCAGTTCCTTGGCAAACAAAGCAACAGGAAAGCTCGAGACATTAAATAAGTAGAAGATAATAATTCATTATAATTCACGAAAGGGACAAAAGCTTCAAGCTCAACAAGCCACATTGTAGGATAGACAACAGGAGATGCTTTTTCACCCATAGGGTAATAATTCAATGGAATCACCTACCTGCCAAAGCCATAATTATTGAGACAGCTACTGCTTCAGTTCAAAATTTACCTGAGGACCACTATCTTTCTGATGGTCTCAACTAGGACAGGAAGCCAGTAGCTTGTTAAATATCCCAGCATTTGTCCTCATGATTTTATCTATTTGGATCTTAACACTATCGGTCACCAGACAGGCGCGCGGTCAACTTAGGGGTCATGCACCCGACGTGCGGGCGAGCGTGCGGGTAAGCGCATGGTGACACCTAAATGTGTATACTCATTTCAGCTTTCTCACCAAATAATGAAACCAGCGTTGAATGTAATGAAACGACATTTTCTGGGTGAGCTCCGGAAGCTCCCTGGCAACCCTCCTTCCCACCGGTCGGCAGTTTTTTCGCGTTGGTTGAAGCTTAGCCTCCGAACTAATGCTAGGCAGCCAACGCGGTAGGTCCGGGGCTCCCCCCTCCCCCTCTCGGAACAGGGAGGGCTGTGTGGACGATCGGCACGGCAGTAAAGTGTGATGTTTGCTTGTTTCCTTGGGATTGTAGGGAGTTTCTACCTCTCTGTTCAGTTTTTTGTTTTAGTTTTTTACCATGTGGGGTTTGTTTTGTTATGCCTACCTTTCTGGGTGCCTAACCCCGGTCGATGGCAGATAAGGAAAACCCCAACCATAAGAGGTTTTCCACGGCCATTGCTCCCTGAAACCTCTCTGAAGGGGCCAGGTTCTGGTGCTGGTCCCTGGTAGGTCTGAACTCCTTAGCTAATGTCCCAGTCTAATATAACATACATTAGCCCGATAAGTTCCAGGGAGCCTCCGGGGCTCACCCAGAAAATGGCGTTTCATTACATTCAACGCTGGTTTTTTGGGCGAGTCTGGAAGCTTCCCGGCATCTCCGCCTGCCTGCGGAGAATGGGTAGTTTGCTCGTTGACGACGGGTGGAGAGCCGGCGTGTCGGGTGGTGCAAGGTACGCTTTGCTTCCTGGGCAAAACGTTTTGTGATACTGGTGGACGTATCTTTAATATAGCATCTTGTACTTGTAGAATGACGTAAATGATATAGGGAAGAGCAGGCTCAATCTCTCTTGAAAGAGATTATCGTCACAGTAGCAATATTTTCACCAGAATAGGGGTTTGTTTTGGGGCGCTTACCTTTCTGGATGCCAGACCCGGTCGATGGCAAACATAAAATGCTCCCAACCACACAAGGGTTTCTGAAGGCCATTGCTCCTCGTGCCTCATTTGAGGGGGAGCCAGGTTCTGGCTCGTGGTCCCCGGTAGGCAAGAACTCCATGCACATTGATGCCAGAAAGCTAATATATACATATCAGCCTGGATAGCTCAGGGAAGCCTCTGGGACTCACCCAGAAAATGGCGTTTTATTACATTTAATGCTGGTTTCTTTCATGCTCACTTCTATTTTCACTTCACATAATCTGTGGCTCTTGGAAGCATTGCTCATAGAAGCTTAACTTCTGCAACATTTTCTTGCAAACAAAGTGTACAATAGATTTGACTGCAATATAGACCACAATATCAACAGTGTTCATGACATTAATAAAGCTAGAATTGTGGACATTTCTTCAAAACATTTTGGAAATACAGGTTTGATGTACATGAAATCAATACTAGAAAAATATTTGCCCATGAATACATTCAGAGGATGAGCTGAGGACGTGTGACTTGTGTTTGGTGGTGGGAACGTCTTCAGTAGTGTATCCTGCTGCTATGTTTGCCCCACAAGTTGCAGCTCGAGGAGTGCCAGTAGCAGAATTCAACCTAGAAGCAACACCAGCTACAGACTCATTTGGGCAAGTTGCTGAATATTTTGACCGATATTCATTCTTGGCAAAAAAAGCTTTACAAAAATTATAGCAGTTTTTAATTTTGGGGAACAGTAGTGCCATTTATAATGCATTTCATTGCTCTTATTTTCATCTTATTCTCAAGTGTTTGCTGAAAATTCTCACATGCTATTTGACTTATCACCACAAGTTAAGCAGTCATTCTTATTATTCTGAAATATGAATAGCAGCCATACTTTCTTGGTGGGGCCCCTTTGGTAGCTCCCTGAAGCTATCTTGCCGAGATTGCTCCATGCTGATGTGTCATCTCGGTCGTGAAAATTCTTCTTGACCTTTCACAGGGGCCTGACAGGTGAGTGGATAGCGCTCGGGATTCGTAGTCCTAAGGTTCCGGGTTCGATCCCCGGTGGACATGGAAACAAATGGGCAGAGTTTCTTTCATCCTGATGGACCTGTTTACCTAGCAGTAAATAGGTACCTGGGAGTTAGACAAATGTTATAGGCTGCTTCCTGGGGGTGTGTAACAAAATGGAGGCCTGGTTGAGGACCAGGCCGCGGGGACGCTAAGCCCCGAAATCATCTCAAGAATACCTACCAGGGATCAGAAGCAGGCCCCTCGCACAGAGGTGCAGGGAGCATGTAACAATTTGCTGCCGTACTGGGAAAGCATCTAGAAAGTCGGCAAAGCTTTACAGAGAACTAGAAAGTTCATTGAAAATGTAGTCACAAAACTGCCAAACACCTCTGCAAACGATTCACACACACAGCAAGAGATTCACTCAAACTAACTCGAAATTCGTTAGTACCAATCACCACCATGGCTGTGGGCTCCTGCCCACAGCTGGCTCTCCGAGTCAGTTCTTTTGCTGATGTTATAATGGAAAGGTCTACCAGTAGTGCTCTGGTCCGCCAGTCATGGGTGAGCATCTCTGCTTCAAGCAAAGTGCTGGCTGCCTTTGGACATTGTTCATCCTTTAGGGGCCATTTATTTGTTCTGTTCCTTTATTCTGGGGAATACCCTTATGGCTTCCTGAAGCAATCTTGCTGAAATGGCTCCCAACTACTAGGTCACATCAGCTGAGGAGTTTTATTTGGCCTACCAGGGACCACAGCTAGAACCTGGTCCCTCACAGAGGCCCAGAGTGCAGGTGCCTCTGCTGCCCCACCAGAAACCTGGCCTCTCACAGAGGCCCAGAGTGCAGGAGCCGCTTTGCTGCCCCACCAGGAACCTGGCTCCTCATAGTGTGCAGGTAACACTCCCTAAGCAATCCCAAGCATGGGGAATAGACCTTCAAAATCAGTCTCAATTCCAGGTGGAGGAGAGTTTAACAAATTCAACTTCAATAATAAACAGATAAACTGGGAGCAGATAAACCAAGACCTCACAGAAATAAGCTGGGAAGAACAGCTAGAAAATGCAAACCTGAACCAGTACCTGGAAAAAAATAAGCTCAGTAGCACTAGAAATATGCGCAAACCACATACCTCTAAGAAAAAAGAGGAAGAGATGCAGATTGGAACAGGAACGTCGTTCCCGCTATAGGCGAAGAAAACGAATCGCGGAACAACTTGAGAGTCGCACCCTATCTCAAGAATGGCAAAGAAAGTTGGGTAGAGATATAGAAACAATTGAACTAAAGCAACAAGAATCATACAAAATCCAGGAGAGGCAAAGAGAGCAAAAAGCCATCAGTGAAATAGAGAGAAATGCAAAATATTTTTCTCGTATGAAAAATCAAGATCCAAAACCACATCTAGTATCGGGCCCCTGCGAAAGGGAGATGGAACTTTCACCATTAACAACAAAGAAATGAGCGAGATACTGAGGAAGCAGTATGACTCTGTTTTCAGCGAGCCACTAAACACACTAAAGATTGATAACCCAAATGAATTTTTCATGGATATGATACCAACATCAAATCATATATCAGACGTTACCCTAGGCGCCAAACAGCTGGGTGGACAGCGCTTCGGATTCGTAGTCCTGAGGTTCCGGGTTCGATCCCTGGTGGGGGCGGAGACAAATGGGCAAAATGTTTCTTTCACCCTGATGCCCCTGTTCACCCAGCAGTAAATAGGTACCTGGGAGTCAGACAGCTGCTATGGGCTGCTTCCCGGGGAGTGTGTAACAAAAAGGAGGCCTGGTTGATGACCGGGCCGCGGGGACGCTAAGCCCCGAAATCATCTCAAGATAACCTCAAGAAGAACCACACTGGATTTTGAAGAAGCCATAAACAGTATGCCTATGCACTCTGCACCAGGCCTTGATTCTTGGAACTCCATATTCATTAAGAACTGTAAAAAACCACTATCGCAGGCCTTTCACATTCTTTGGAGACAAAGCCTAGATACTGGCGCTATCCCTGACATACTAAAAACAGCAGAGATAGCACCACTCCTTAAAGGAGGAAATAAGGTAGAGGCAAAAAATTACAGACCGATAGCACTAACATCACACTTCATAAAAATCTTTGAGAGAGTGCTAAGAGTAAGATCACTTTTTAAATACATGGAATCACAGCATCTCCAAAATCCCGGACAACATGGTTTCAGAACAGGACGCTCTTGTATGTCACAGTTGCTGGATAAGTATGACATGGCACTAGATGCTATGGAAGACAAAAACAAAACGCTGATGTAATTTACACAGATTTCGCAAAAGCGACATTTCGACAAATGTGACCATGGTGTTATTGCACACAGAATGCGTTCAAAAGGAATATCCGGAAAAATAGGCAAATGGATCTACAATTTCCTGACTAACAAAATCCAGTGTGTAATAGTCAACAAAATAAAATCCGGTACATCAACCATGAAGCGCTCAATCCCCCAGGGTACTGTGCTTGCTCCAGTACTTTTTCTCATCCTCATATCGGATATTGACAAGGACACAATCTATAGTACTGTATCAACCTTTGCAGATGACACTAGGTTTTTTATGAGAGTAGACAGCATAGAGGACACGGCAAACCTACAATCAGATGTAAATCAGGTCTTTCTATGGGCTACAGAAAATAATATGGTGTTTTACGAAGATAAGTTCCAACCCATGCGCTGAGGAAAAAATCAAATTATAAAAACGGAAACCACGTACAAAACTCAGTCAAATCATAACATAGAACAAAAAAGCAATGCAAAGGATTTGGATATACTCATGTCGAAAGACCTTACCTTTAAAGAACACAATAAAGTAGCTGTCACAACTGCAAGAAAAATGACAGGTTGGATAACGAGAACCTTTCACACTAGAGATACTATACCGATGAAGCTACTTTTCAAGACACTAGTGCTCTCTAGAGTGGAATACTGCTGCATAATGACAGCCCCTTTCAAAGCTGAAGAAATTGCTGACCTGGAGTGTGTGCAGAGATCCTTCAGAGTTCAGGCGGGAGAGATACATAATAATTCACACATGGAAAATAGTAGAGGGGCTGGTCCCAAACCTGCACACAGAAATAACATCACATGAGACCAAAAGGCATGGCAGGATGTGCAGAATATCCCCGTTGAAGAGCACAGGTGCAACAGGTACTCTGAGAGAGAACTCTATCAACATCAGAGGCCCGAGACTGTTCAACACGCTTCCACTACACATAAGGAGCATAACTGGCTGACCCCTTCACAGTGTTCAAGAGAGAACTCAATAAGCACCTCTAAAGGATACCTGATCAATCAGACTGTGAGTCATACATCAGGCTGTGAGCAGCAGCAGCGTCCAACAGCCAGGTTGCCCAGTCCAGCAACGAGGAGGCCTGGTCGAGGACCGGGCCACGGGAACAATAAGCTCCGAAAACACCTCAAGGTAAAGGTAAGGTAGGACACGTTGCAACGCCACCAGGAACCTGATACCCCTCACAGAGGCCCAGAGTGCAGGTGACACTCTGTTGCCCCACCAGGAACCTGGCCCCTCACATGGACCCAGAGTGCAGGTGACACTCTGCTGCCCCACCAGGAACCTGGCCCCTCACATGGACCCAGAGTGCAGGTGACACTCTGCTGCCCCACCAGGAACCTGGCCCCTCACATGGACCCAGAGTGCAGGTGACACTCTGCTGCCCCACCAGGAACCTGGCCCCTCACATGGACCCAGAGTGCAGGTGACACTCTGCTGCCCCACCAGGAACCTGGCCCCTCACATGGACCCAGAGTGCAGGTGACACTCTGCTGCCCCACCAGGAACCTGGCCCCTCACATGGACCCAGAGTGCAGGTGACACTCTGCTGCCCCACCAGGAACCTGGCCCCTGGTTCTCTGACGGAACGAGGTTCTGGATCATGGTCCCCGGTAGGCATAAGAACTGTGACTGATGACTCCAAACTAATATAGCACATATCAGTTCAGATAGCTTTAGGGAGTTGCTGGGGCTCACCTAGAAAGGGGCAGTTCATTACATTCAATGCTTTTTTTTTCTTTTCCTGGTAGTCCCTCAATAGGGACTATGATTAGGTGTGTGAAATGAAGAAGGTTGGTTCAGGCTGCTTGTAAGTGAAGAGGCAGGCTGGCTGGAGCCTGAGTGATGTGGGCTGCCACCTGGTGGTCATGTGCATCATGGTTAGGATATTTATCCTGTGCCAACAACCATTTGCATTTCCTTAGGATATCTAATTTTTTTCAAGCAGTTGGAGGAGGAGCTTGTTTTGAAAATCCCATTATCCAAAACATACAGTTTCTCATTAACTGCAGTACAGTACAGTACTGTGTTGTAAATACCTTGCATAATATTGTTTATATCAGTACTGTATTGAGAAATATTCCTGGCATATGAACTGGAGTTCTCTCTCTCCTGATTGGCAAGACTCAAAATACTAGTATGTGGTTTTGTATAATTTAGAATTATTTTATTTCAGGTTTCACTTTGAGGGACCATGTGGAACAACACTACCTATTGCCCTTGCTCCTTGATTAAATGAACGACATGCTTAGGATTCCAACCAAGAGAATTTAATCATATGTAATTGTATATATATTGTGAAATGCAAATTTGTATAAAACTTTTATGCTATATTAAGAAAATATTTATGTTAAAAGATTGCCTTTGTCATAGTTCAGACAAGATACCAAGGGGCCTCAATTACAATGGTTGGGAGTCCCGTAAGATACCTACTATAATTTTGTTATCAATAAAACTTTATAATGCACAGAACTGAGGCTTGTGACATTTTAAGTGACATTGGTAATACTAGATTTAAGCTTACTGCTGTAACTATATTCACATTCTCCTGTGAAACTCAGTGTTTAGTAAATTATACTTGAGGATATTACCATGTTTTTTATTACTATGAATAACAAACCTGTAAAAATCTTGGGTACACATTTCATACAAATTTTACATTTAAAAGTTTAACCACTGTGATGTGCCAGCCAAGAAATCTTGTTTGCCTATAACTGCACCAACCAAGAAAACACTTTTTTATATTTTTTCGTACTCATTCGAAATTCAGTTCAGCCTCTGAACTGGAGTTGGGTAGCCAGTGCGGGAGGTCTGGGCCCCCCTCTTTCCTCTCTACCCACCGCGCCGGTGATCTACATCCCAGTTATGAGGCTGGATGTCAAAACACGCGAAAAAATCGCCGACCGGAGGGAGGGAGGGATGCCGGGGAGCCTTCGGAACTCACCCAGAAAATGGCGTTTCATTACATTCAACGCTGGTTTTCTGGGGGGAGCCCCTACGGCTCCCCGGAGCTAACTACCCACAGGGGAAATAAAAGGGACTTACCCAGGAGGTGGTTGCTTCTCACTCCTCAACCCAAAGTCGAGATAACTGGCTGCATCCGCCGAACCAAAGCAACACAGGCCCGACTGGGCTCAGGAATGTTAACAAGGTAACGAGCAGCTAGGACCCTGTTCGAACGCCAAAATCCCCACGCCCGAATGTCAGCCCAGGACATATTGTCAAAGACGCCGGCAAGAGCTGCAAACTTGCGAACGTCATGGGCACAGGGATAGACCACAGGCTGGCTAGCCTTAATAACCCTGCGGACGACCTGGAAGACCCGCACTCTCGAACAGGGAAGAAGGGAAACTGAATCAACCCAAAGCGCGTCCACGGACCCTGAAGCTGTGGCACGCAAATAACGGCAGAGAGCTGCAACCGGACACAAAACATGATGCACCCCCGGCCTAACCAACCAAGCATCAACAACTCAGGCCCCCCCGGAAAGCAGTAGTCTCATTCTTCGCCAGAAAAAAAGGAGAGGACTGCCGACGAACAAACTAATCTCCTCGACCGAAGGAGCAGGGAAGAAAGGAAACCTCTGTGCTGGAGGAGAGCATGAAGCTCACCAACCCGACCCCCCAGAGGCCAATGCCAACAGGAAAAGAGCCTTTGAAAAACAATCAGTAACCAAAGGAGAAAAAAGAAAAGAGCACTCTGTCCAAAGACCAGGATGGCTCAGGCAGCGCATGAGCAGGCCGGAGGTGAAACAACACCTGAGACAGCTTGCGAAACGGCACAGACGTGACATCAATACCGAAAGCAAGCTGCAGCGGCTTCGCCAGCGCCACACGATACGAGGCGACAGTATTAGGCATAAGGAGACAGTCCTGGAACAACCAAGAGAGAAAAGACCACACCACCCTAACAGAAAGCGAAGTACAACGACGAAGACGTAAGAAGAACCGGAAGGACCGCCAGGAAACTTCATACTGCCGCTGAGATGAAGCCCGCAGGTGGGACACTAATAAGGAAGCCACCTGATCACCATAGAGATGATGATAAACTCGAGTCAAAAATACCATACGCGAAGACTCGAGAAGATCGAACCATCCACGTGACTTACCGGTCCAATCTGCTGGAAGAGGCGGCGCCACGAGAAAACCTTCGGGTTCGGACACCGAGCAAGCAGCGCCTGAAACCACGGCTGGGCCGGCCACCAAGGGGCCAAGAGGACAACTCTTCCCTGGTAAGTCTCCAAGCGAGTCAGGACCTGGAGCAACAGCTGACCCAGGGGAAAGAGGTACAGGAATCCCCACCTCAACCAGTCCTGCCGAAAGGCATCGACCCCGATGGCCTCGTAGTCGGGAAAGGACGCCACATTCAGAGGAAGGCTCCGCGACCACGTCTATGCAAAGAGGTCCACCTCGGAGCGTCCGAATGTCTGGCAAAGCCAACAGAAGGGGTCGGCGTTGACCGTCCATTCCGTGGAGAGGAGAACGAAACGAGGCAGGCCGTCCGCAAAGACGTTGGACACTTCCCGCACGTGAACTGCTAGGAGAGCCAAACCCCGAGAACTCGGCAGACGAGTCACCCGAAGAGCCGGATCGTCGATCCGCGGGCGACCTGAAGCCTCTGAAGAGCAAACCACACTACTGCGAACTTCCGCAGAGTGCTGTGAGCTCGGCGGAAGGACGGACCCCACTGTCCCTGGCCGGCCTGGTGAGCACTGGTCACAAAGCCCCAGCCGAGAGACGATGCGTCCGTGAACACATCGAGCGAGGGTGATGTGTAGGCGCCAAGGCACTGAACCCCAAAAAAACCCGAAGAAGAAGCCGGCTACGCAGCAACTGACAAAGACCCCGGGGTCCGAACAGTAACCCAATTGCGCGTATCATGAGAGAAGGGGTTGGACGGAAGGGACATCCCCGAATGGAACCAGAACTTATGTTCTTATGCCCCAGACATAGCCAGGGAACCAGAACAGACCCAGGCACGACCCGGCGGGTAGACCAGCATCGTGAAGTTTAGGCCCCCACACAAGACCCTCGAGCAACCACCGGGCGACCCGGGAGCCCCCAGAGTACAGCTGCCACATACAAGGCACAGCGCTGCAAAAAAGACTGGAGCCAGAGCACACGACCGAGCCGATAGCATCAGCTTAAAGAACTGGGGTGTGGATCGCCGGCGCGGTGAGTCTGGGGCTTCCGCTTTCCCCTCCCGGGGAGGGGGGAGCTGCGCAGACAGCAGCGCGGCGATGGGTGACGTCATACTAGTTTGCTCATTTTTGTTGGGGAGTTCTATCCACTCGTTCGGCTTTTGGTTGCAATTTTCACCAGAATAAGAGTTTGCTTTGGGACGTTACCTTTCTGGGTGCCTAACCCGGTCGATAGCAGACATAGAATGCTTCCACTCACACGGGGGTTTCTGTAGGCCATTGCTCCCCTTGCCTCTCTAGAGGGGGGCCAGGTTCTGGCTCGTGGTCCCCGGTAGGCCCAAAGAACTCCATACACATGACTGATGCCAAAGTCTGACATTAACATATCAGCCTAGTAAACCCCGGGGAGCCGTAGGGGCTCCCCCCCAGAAAAGCATTACAAATAAAGACCTCCAAGTTCACCAAGACATCAGTCATGCTGTGGCACTTGCAAAAACCAAATTGAGAAGGGGAGAGGTGATGACAGTGCTACAAGAACCACACCAGACGAACATTGACCATACGTTCAAAGAGCTTGCAGACACAACTCGTAGGGGCAATAGGGCGGAAGTCCTTAAGGGATAAGAACATAAGAACATAAGAACAAAGGTAACTGCAGAAGGCCTATTGGCCCATACGAGGCAGCTCCTATTCTATAACCACCCAATCCCACTCATATACTTGTCCAACCCGTGCTTGAAACAATCGAGGGACCCCACCTCCACAATGTTACGCGGCAATTGGTTCCACAAATCAACAACCCTGTTACTGAACCAGTATTTACCCAAGTCCCTCCTAAATCTAAACTTATCCAATTTATACCCATTGTTTCGTGTTCTGTCCTGTGTTGATACTTTTAATACCCTATTAATATCTCCCCGGTTATGTCCATTCATCCACTTGTAAACCGAGATGTCCCGAGAGACCCCAGTTTCCAAATAAGAAGTACAACGGCATCGAGCCAGTCCTCAGGGACTGACGACGACTCCCAGACCCGGTTATACAGATTCAGTAAATACCAAGATGCACATGGAGGGAGATGGCAAAGCATCTCATAATGAATGTCATCTGAGCCAGCTGCTGTAGAACCACAGAAGGCCAGAGCAGACTGAAATTCGGAGAGAGAGAAGGGATCGTTATAGGGAAGTTGGAAATTAGTGCGGAAATCTAAGGGACGAGATTCAAGAACGGGCTTACATAAGAACATAAGAATAAAGGTAACTGCAGAAGGCCTATTGGCCCATACGAGGCAGCTCCTATTTATAACAACCCAATCCCACTCATATACATGTCCAACCCACGTTTGAAACAATCAAGGGATTCCACCTCTATCGTGGTAATTGGTTCCACAAATCAACAATCCTATTACTGAACCAGCATTTACCCAAGTCTTTCCTAAATCTAAACTTATTCAATTTATACAAATTGTTTTGTGTTCTGTCTTGTGTTGATACTTTTAATACCCTATTAATATCCCCTTTTGTTATGCCCATTCATCCACTTGTACACCCCTAATTCTTTGCCTTTCAAGAGAATGTAATTTAAGCTTTGTCAATTGAGGGGTTGAGTTTGATCCCAATCTGTTTTGCCTCTTTACTGATGCAGTCTAAGCATTTGGGTGCAAGGCGCGCCGCATCCCTTTCTTTTATGATGATGACAAAGTCGTCCGCGTCAAAGTCCGTGCCCATAAAAATAGCGAAGCCCAACATCCAACTCACATTACAGGGTCAACCAATTGAATGGGTCGACACCTATCAGTATCTAGGAATCATCCTGGACACACACATGAATTTTAATGCTGATGTCACTTACTTCACTGTTCGCTTGAGAGAGCGAACTGCGGCCCGGACGGCAATCCTCAGGTCGCTAACCTCCCTTTCTGGAGGAGCCAATCTGCAAGTCCTTCGCACATACTATGTACAGGCAGTCAGATCAGTGATCGATTATGCCGCACCTGCACTCACAAATCTATCACACCAACAGTGGAAAAAGCTTGAAGTTGCCCAAAACAATGCTATGAGAGCCGCACTGGGAGACCCCATGTGGACCAGGCTTGAAACTCTTAGACTGGAGACGGGTTTGCCCTCTCTACAAGAAAGAATATCACAAAGGACAGCTACAATTATCAGTAAGATAATTATTTCTTCTGATCCAATCCCAGTACGGCAGGCCTTGGTGGTTGGACTAGGCCAAAACAATGGAAACTCTTGGGCTGCAAGAGCAGGAAAAGTCGTAAACAGACTACATTTAAAAAGCATGATTCTTGATAGAGAGGGTGATCATCCACACCCAAATTACACTCCTTCCGCACCGTGGGAAGAGCCTACTTTCAAAATAGTAATAGAAAGTCTCCCAATGAAAAAGGCTGCCCATGATCCGACAATCCTAAGGCGCATAATAGAAGAGCAAAT